TAGTAAAATCGGAAGTTCTCGCGGAATTCTGCAGTTTTCCGTATCGATTTCCTCCACTGACAACAACAATATACAAACTAATCTCAACTATGCAGAAATAAGTACTCAATGGAGTTTCACAACTACCCGTTTTACGTCAAGTGGCGTCGCAAAACTCCGTGAAAAACGCGATATTCGCGGTGAAATGTTTTTTCACTAGTGTTTTTATATCACGTGTGAAACTGCAATGTTGGAGTAGTAGGAATATATGTTCGCTTTTCTCATCAGCTCAGCTCAGGAGTTTACATACGAACTCGGGTAGAAGTGTATTACAAAAACCAACAATAATTTTAACATTGTCATCACCAACACATGTACTTGACCGTGCGCATAATTTCCGCCTATATCATTCAGGAAACTAATTTCGAAACTCAGACCCTCAGTGTTGGAGGAATATATCTTCGCTTTACTCATTCCTCGAATTCGTGTACAAAAACCAATAAGAATTTTCATATCGTCACCAACACATGTAGTTGACCATGTGCGTATTCCCACCTGAATTGTGTTTTCTCCGCAACCAAACACTAAACGCTCTCAGCTGGTCTCTAAAGAACTCTCTCACAGGATCAGTTCCCCGTATCTGCCGATAATTCGTCGAATCAACAACGGATTCGAAAAAATCTCGCGCGCCCCACCTGTGAAGTCAGCAGGCTATTTCGCTCGCCTTGCACTACACGCAGTACTGAGGCTTCCATCACGAGTTCCCACGTCTCCCATAAGGAGTGATGACTACAGTCGGGCAACTCGGGCATTGATACGCTCGTTAGACCGACCAGAGCTGAGGACAAAATGGCATTCGTCTGGCGTTTGGAAAATTCCACTTTTTTTGCGAACCAGAGTTTCACCCGTGATATGAAAAACAAATTTCACATCTTACTTACTCGCGAAAAACGTATGTGAGCAATGAATAACACGCGGTATGTGTTTTTCATGTGATACGGGGTGATTCGTAAAGTGTTTTCAATTCGCCACTTCATATCGCGTTTAACACATGGAGTATTACACCGCTTCACGTAAAACGTGTGAAATATGAGATATTTTTTTCACTAAAGTTTCTCACATCACCGTGGAAATTTTATTGTGTATAAAAAAATGCGCGCGTTCTCTCTGCGTTATTTCGTTCAACGATTTCCCTACAACTACACCAGTTGAGCTCTCCAAACACATACCATTCGGAAGAGTGCAGTTCATGCATTCTGCGAAAAAGTACGAAATTGCTTTTGAGGAAACTCTGTATTGAAAATTTATGATATTTTCACGATTTTTTTGCGATATATTGGAGTTTCTTGACCCTAGTGATATGAAAAACACTAGTAAAAAATCTATTTCACGACTATTGCATATCACCGCGAACATTGCGTTTTTCACTAACATACCATTTCATGCAAAATGGGTTGTGAAACTCCATTATATATTTTTTTCTATATCCTGTATTTTTTTAGCAAACATTGCTCGAAGAATGCCCGTCCCGGGGATCGAACCAACGATCAATACAAAAAATACAATTTCCATTTCTCCATATCAAAAGCCCTCTAAGACAAACACTCACAAATTAGTCTCTGAGCCAACAAATAGTTGCGAAACAGTGAAGCCAGAACGACATCTTTTCGAAATAAAATCTCATATGTATCTGAAAAAAATACAAAAATTTACCCGAAAAAATTTCAAATTTTCGCAAACCACCAGCAGGAAGGGAACTCCACGCTATGGAATTCATAATACTGGTAAATACAGAATTCAACTGTCTGAATTCACTCGAATTCTCCACTTCATTTCCATCTAAAATAACATCTGTTACCACAACACAGCACTTCAGCACGAACCGTCTCCGACGGTGAACTCCCCAAGTTTGCTGAGAATAGCCTCCAATTTGACACTGTCATTATCTTGGTCGAAGCCTAGCAGACACTTCGAGAGAGGACCGTAAAATCCCGAGCCTGCGATAGATGAGAAATATGATGGAGTTCCTTCACCCTAGTGATATGGAAAACTCTAGTGAAAAAATATTCCGCGACTACTGCATATCACCGCGAATATCACCGAGTTTTACGCCACTTCGCGTAAAACGGGCTGTGGAACGCTAGTAATATATGGAGTATTTAAATATCTAAAGAACGGAGTACTACTAGACAAACCTACTAAAAAAAGATAACATCCCATTGTCAAAGTACGATATAATAGTATAGATGCACATTTATACTCATTGGAGTTTCACAACTACCCGTTTTACGTGAAGTGGCGTAAAACTCGGTGGAAAACGCGATATTCGCGCTATGCAGTAGTCGTGAAATCTGTTTTTCACTAGTGTTTTTCATATCACTAGGGTGAAACTCCATTATATTTGTTTTCTTATCTGCCACATTATGAAATAATGACCCCTACATAAGAATTGTAATGCTGTTTTCAATGGCGCCGTCAAACACGCTGTGAGTATTTGGGACGGGAGCTTCGACCCTGACAACAAACAACTACGGAGTAGGAATATATCTTCGCCTTCCTCATCAGCTAAGCTCAGGAATTTACATATGAATTCGAGTAGAAGTGTAATACAGAATTTTCATATTGTCATCACCAACACGTGTAGTTGAACATGTGCATATTTCAGGTAATTCATTTCGAAATTCAAAAATCTCAGCGTTGGAGGAATATATGTTCGCTTTCATAAAAGTTTATTTACAAATTTGGGTAGAATTTTACCAAAAACCATGAGAATTTTTCTCAACACATCTAGTTGACCATGACTGCATAAAACAACCCTATACCGTAACTGTTACCGAGATGCGGGTTCGTTTCATCTCGACCACAACTAGCCAATATGAAAATTTCGCTTTTTTCCACGGCATTCGAGGAAAACAAGCCAACTTCATGAAACGCATCAATGTAAGAACCTGAAAAAACTTTAGTAAAATTTCGACAAATTTAATTTCGCCCACCAGCGCGATCACAGTCGAAAATGTAAACAGCCGGTTTGCCGAGCCAACCGATGAGTTTATGAATGTTGATTGGAGAGCATTCGTCCAGTGCCTGAAGAAAATATAGAAAATGAAGAATAAGAATTCAAATCCAAGGCTGGAAAATATTAAGGTGTGTTGGTGACAATGTGAAATTTCTGAGGAAGTTCTTATTGGTTTTTGTATTACACTTCTACTCGAATTCATATGTAAACTCCTGAGCTCAGCTGATGAGGAAAACGAACATATATTCCTCCAACACTGCGTTCCGCTGGGAACATAAAAGGGTGTACACTGATGGAAACAAGACCGTGAGAATTCAGGAAAAGAATTTATAGCAGAATTAGTAAACACGATATATAGATGACCAAAGCGAATGGCAGGAAAAATGAGGTAATCGTTTTATTCTTATGATATTTCCATTTTTTCCGATTATTTCTCCCTTTTTTTCGAAAATAAGATTCTATTCTAATCACTAGAAACGGTATGGAGAAAAAAATTACGTATATATTCCTATTCGGGAGAATGCAAAAGTCTCGACGAAAAATTGCAAAGCCCGTGGAAAATTTATCTTCAGCAACATTAATGTCAAATTATGAAAATCTCGCTGTAAGTCAACAAGATGATATACTTCTCATACGACGAAAACGATTCGTATTTACACTCGGAGAAAATGAACTAAAACACTTCACATTAGCAGTGTTGGCGGGCAGACATGCGGTCGCTTTCCTCAACCAAGTCTAGGAGTGTCTTGACTGATTATACACATTCATATGAAAAACTAGCGTTGAACCGATGAGAATTTTCTCACAATTTTCATATTCTCATCAACCCACATTGTTGCAAATGTCTACATCGTAGTCATAATTGAGATAATAGACAATCGCATTTGCAACAACTCACTTGATTATACATTGGTAAGGAATGACCATGAACCTTATCAGAGTTAGGATCTGAAAACAGGTAAGATCTGCTGTTATCAGCTAATGCCATAGTCATCATGTGATCGTCCCTTTCCCCCAAGACTATCAAAGTGCCTCCAAGACTAGGAGGCATTTCCAGGTCAATTTAACATTTTCCCAGAATTTTTAGTCATTCAACCACTTTTTTTGAAAAAAAAATACCTTTTTTCAATCTTTTACCGGCTGATTTTAACTTATTGCCCCAAACTCTAATATAATAGCTAGTCTTTTCAAAAACATGGTGATACGAAAAACACTATCTCACTTCGCGAAATGCGTATGTGAGCGATGAATAAGCCGTAAAAAACGTGATGTATTTTAGACGTGGAAATATCGCGCGTATCACGCGTTATAAGAGTGCACACTGTGCAATGCTGAATCCGTATACATTTACATACGTTCGATATGAGCTCATACGCTAATATGATAAGTAAGAAATATAACTGTAATACAAATATTATATGTAATATTCACCACATGAAAATCACCCCCAAAACGATACTTCTGTCGAAAAGCACGTGTAGATAAAGATTCAAAACGTGCCCCAGTGATAAGATACAAAACAGGTCCATACATGTAACAGTGCCAGATTGATAACTGAGGTAATGGAAAACAATTCTTTCGGTCGTGCCTGAGGTGGCAACCGATTTTCGAATTCTCGCGCATTCGTTCAACTCACTTCGTCGCGCAGTATGACAAACTCTTCTGAGGTGATCCGGTCTAAAAAGAAACTATATAAACTCAAAACAATTTTGAATAATTTTCCCACTCAAAAATATCACAATATATTGGGGAAAATGCGCACATGGTCAACTACATGCGTTTATGACAAGATGAGCATTTCGAGGAAATTCTTGTTGGTTTCTGTACACATTTCCCCGAATTCGTATGTGAATCTCGATTGAACATTATCGCATTGAAGTGAATAAATAACATATCATTCAGACTAGTATATCAAATAAAATAACAGAATGTTGTCCATCCGTGATATGAGCAACAAATTTCACACTTCAATTCGCGAAAAACGTGAGCAATGAAGCAAGAAATGAGCAATGAATTACGCGTAAAACACGTGATACGGGATGATTTGTCCGGTGTAATTCGCCAAGTGTTTTCAATTCGCCACTTCATATCGCGTTTTTCACATGGAGTATTACACCACTTCACGCGAAACTATTCCAACTACAATCCAATAAATAAAGTGAAAGAAATATATTTGGAGTTTCACAACTACCCGTTTTACGTGAAGTGGCGTCGGAATACTCCGTGAAAAACTAGGCGATATTCGCGGTGATATGCAGTAGTCGGGAAATATATTTTTCATATCACTAGGGCCGCCCTTAGAACTCCATCATATAATACTAAAATCAACCTTCCATCACCTCCTTACGTTGGGTCTGGACACACCCTACACAGTTGAGCTGGCATGGGAGCATTCTCAAAACGGTTCCATACACTGCCAGGCTCAAAACGGAACAATCGGTAATATCTGAATTGTCCTTGCGATGAAGATGGCAACCAAAGGCTTACAGCATCTGTAAGCTCTTGAGAAGCGACGCCATGGGAGTTGTATCTACCATTGATCGATTCATACTTGAGTTTCACGCGAAGTGGCGAAAAATGCGATATGAAGTGAATTAAAAATAGTGGGCAAATACACCGGAACAAATACACACCCCTCATCAGTGAACACATACCACGTGTTTTACGCGTTATTCCCTGCTCACATGCGTTTTTCGGGAGTAAGTGAAATGTAAAAGATGTTTTCCATATCACGGGTCAAGAAACTCCATACAAGAAACGCGCAAAAATCAATGTTATTTTCTACAACTTAATTGCTCTCACCAATGCGCATAATTTCCCACACGATTGTGATGAGATACAGTATTGGAAATTCTGCACATGATGACAATCTTGAGGAATTCTTATTGGTGATATGCGACATATTATACAATAACTACCTCGATTTCCCTGTTCTTGAAATAGCTTGTGCACGCCTTGCTTTACATGGCTCCATTGTTGTAATTGAATTTTCTCTATAGTGTTCAAATATTTCCTATTTCCTCTCATTTTACTTCCCGTATTGACCACCATAACAGCTTGAGTCGTTCCTGATCGCAACTATCTATGTGAATTGGTGACAATATGAAAATTCTGTATTGCACTTTTATTAATAAGCGATTTTCACAATATTCAAGTCCTATCGTATATCAACAGCGTGGGAAAATATGCACATGGTCAACTACGTGTGTTGGTGAGAAAACGAAAATTCTGGGAGGAAATTTTGGGAATTTCTTATTGGTTTATGCACACTTTCACACGAATTTCTCGAATGAGCGTGGAAACTCCCGAGATCTTCAACTGAGGAAAGCGAAAATATATTCCAAATCCAGCAATGTGTATACTGGAGTTTCTCCACCCTAGTGATATGGCAAAAAACACTAGTGAAAAACATATTTCACGACTACTGAATAGTGCGAATATCGCGTTTTCACCGAGTTTTACGCCACTTCGCGTAAAACGGGTAGTTGTGAAACTCCAATATTGATTACTTATTATTTCGTTTTCAGCTAGCCCGCCTGTTTCCTCTGCTACTCCCCATGCTGAAGTTTCTCGATTCAGATCCGGTACTAAATCGATCACACCATCTCTAGCAGAAATCATTGGAGTTTCACTCGTGATATGGAAATCACTAGTGAGAAACACATTTAACTTCGCGAAAAAAAAACGCATGTGAGCAGTGAATAACGCGTAATACACGTGTTTTACGCGTTTTACGCGTTTTACGCAACAGTAGCAGTAGTTCAACAGGGCGAGGTAGGCGATGCAGAATCAGTCTGCGCAACTTGAAGAACAACCTCCTCAGCTACTGCTCACATCAACTCGAAATTTTCATATAAACTCTCGCAGAACGATTATATTGGAGTTTCATCCATTTAACGTGAAGTGGCATAATACTTCATATAAATTCAAGACGTATATGTCTTCGCGACCGCCAACACAATTTTTCTCCGTAGAGTGAATTGTAAAAAATGTTTCTCCCTAGAGTTTTTCATATCACGGGTGAAACACCAATGTTCAATAACAAGAGCGGCTCTATTTTCAAAAAATAAGTTTTCTCGCACTCTTCGAATGCGAACCTTATGGTATTAATTCCTTCTGCATGGTGCAAAAATGATAATACCACTCCGCTAACAACAACCCCGGAATTTTATCACAACTACCCGTTTTACGTGAAGTGGCGTAAAACTCGCTGAAGAACGCGATTTTCATGGTGATATACAGTAGTAGTGAGATGTGCTTTTCATATCACTAGGGTGAAGAAACTCTACTAGTATAGAGGAAATCGCCAAGTAACCCATGTCATTTATTGACCTGTTACAAACCCAAACCATATTGTCATTGAAGACTTGACAGCAGCGCGATCGATGGACAAACTTCTGTTGAAGTGTTCCGCACCCTCGACGGCTTCATTGCTAGCAGAGCATCCCGACCATCCGAGTCGTTAGTTACAAATTGACCTTCGTTTTACACAACTTTTCCGGTTGATCTACTCCGTCGGAAGAACCTCGAGTGACGCTACCATAAACATCACACATCCTATACCCAGTTGACCTCTGTAACACACTAAACACAACACAGTGCAGTCGGGCAAGTGTCGAGAATATGATGACGTAAGGCAAAAATACGTCAAGACTGTACAATCGAACTAACCTTTTAACGCCAGTGGAAAAATATAACACTCCTTCACTGAGTGCCCTTCTGAACACCAAAAACGTCCCTCATCCACAGTGCACTTCAAACTCACCGTTTTAGCTTGCTTCACATGCTTTCCCTCTCCAACAACTTTCTCCACTAAGGAAGTCTTCACAGCCATCGTATGAGCATCAGATCGCATGTTAGCAAGCATAGTAACAAGCGCAGTATTCACAGGAGTTGGTACACCAACTAACGACCCGAAGCGCACCTGATTGAACATCATTTATTCAGGCAGACATTTTTCAGATTTTTCTACGAACTACATACAATGACCAACGTAGAAAAATATAAAAAAACATAACATCAAAATAGACCATTGATATCAAAGAATTTAAATAGTAAAGAAAAAAATCAAAATCTCCGAGGAGCTCTGCGCGAATTCCAGTGGGAATTTCCATGATGTAACTTCGTTATACTTCATGTTACAACTTCTACTCCGCATATAACAACCAGAGTAGAAAACTACACAAAAGAAACACGCGTGACAGATCGAAACCCCCGCTATGAAATTCGTATTTCGTGTACATTTCAACCCGTATACAAATTCACAAACTCACAAACTCACAAACTCAGCTGAGC